TCGTCCCATCTATCTGCTAGACACAATAGGCAAAGTATTGAAGAGGATCGAATACGATCCCCTTGCTGTTTGTGGCCGTCAATAGCGTGCCATGCGCCCTAAGACAGATTTTCGGATTCCGAACAGTGGCTCCACAGACGGCACTGTTAAGCGATATTTTGGCAGGTGAAATAAGGCGCCTCCACCAACGGCATCTCAAAATCACCACCCCCAAAAAGCCACGAAAAAAAGAGGAGGGGCTAGTGTCGGTAACGATGTAATCCTCGTCAAAGAAAGAACAACAAAATGAAGTTCGTTCCTATGCTAAACATAGCACAAAGACCGAAAGGACTTAAATTATTATAAATCAGCTACGACTAGTCATCGTTGCTGCAGGAACGTGTACAGGTTCGCGCACGAGACTTTCCGAAACTGCTTGCTCCCCGACAAAGAGCAGCGGAGGAGGTGATCAACTGAAAAGGAAGCACAACCCTGCTACCTCCTCCGTAAGCGGTCTTCATTCCCATAACCAAAATGGCAACGCGACGAAGATATGTAATATAATCCTATCGGTAGGCATCAAGACCGAGACTGGTAAATTCTTAATTACGATATACCCGGTGACGTACATGGCTTAACGTTAAAGGGATAATGAGTAGACATGGGTGACACACTTCCAAAACGGCTTTTAAATTAATGATGTTCATTGCCTGCGATCCGTTCAAAGCCTAGCAAGTCGTAACATGGTGTAGGACCACTGGCGCCGAACGTTAATCCCACAGGGCTAGCGTCAACTCGCATAGCCTCCCTGCTTGCATAGATCACCATGGGGTCCGTGAAGAAAATACATTCTGGAAACCGGACAACGGCTTCTCATTGGGAAAAACCAAGACAACAGTAAGCACTAGAACACATTGATGCATTGATGCGAATAGGGAAGATAACCTTAACTGGGCAAGGGGGATAGTATATATAAGGAATTACAAATTTTATCTGGACAGCAACCAAGCACTCTCAACGGCAACTACTCTACAAGAAATTATGCCAAACTTGAACACGCACCAATCGAGATTATGAAGAACAACGTAGAAAATTTTGATTACGCTGCCAAGTGCAGGTACATGTTCACTGTTGTTTTGAAAGAATTCTTCGCCATATTGTTTCGATTTGTATTAATGGACTTCTTGCAAAGTTTTTCTCCCAATTTCGAGATATATAAAAACTCGATATTTTTCTTTCTATATTTATTTTCCTTATTCATTAACTTCTTGATGTTAGTTCTCTGCCTTTTTTTGTTGTTCCTCATTTTTGTTCATCGTTCCATAATAGAGGCCATCACCGCAGACTTAAGAACGCTATCCGACGAAGCATGTTGACAAAATGGCAGTAGCGATAGGAAAACGACTAGGAAAGAAACTTACCGCTTCAACTTATAAGCAGGTAACCCTTGCCGAAGTACAAACGACAATTCGGAGCACGCTATTTTCGGCGGTCACACTTGGGCATGGTTGATCTTGAGATATACTAAGGATAAATTTTCATCTTAAAATATTAAAAATTAGAGCTTCTTCACATATAAAATGTTATTTTTCAAACCTTTATATTGCGAGGAATCCAAAATGTAGGCCAACGTGCTCCAAATTAATTTTTATATCGATTTATTATCGTGACAGAACTTTTTTCACAAGTGTTTGAAAACTATACGTTATTATCATATACAGATTCGGTAGCTATTTTTGTCGTGAAATTTTCATATAACGAATTAAGAAGATAACCAATTGCCTGTACATGTTTTATCAACTCAGCTCAAATTAATTCATGACCTTTTTAAATGAGATGAAAATATTAAAAATCATGATGGACGGATATTAAAATTGCAAATTGCTTTCGAAGACAACGACAGGACAACAATAGTTTACAAGCTTAGCAAGGCGAAGTGAGAAAGTTGTTCTTCAATTAGCTGGACGGTGTAATATGAAGTATAAAATTAAATGCTTTTATTATAAATATTATTTTTGATCATTTTTATAAGAAGTTTCATACAATTTTGCTAGGATATATAACTTGGTTTGGTGCCCTTATAACAAATTTGTTACCTGCACCGAATTTCATTGAAAATTATTATTGCAATTGCTGTTATGATTTTAATCAGGTTAATAGATTATCCTGACGCTTTTTTAGACCAACTTTAGAGTGATGTGGATGCTGGAGTTGTCTCCGAATTGTACAAGAGTCAGAAAACGGATTGTCCCGTGTAAAAGCTAATTTACAAAAATAGTTTTAATTTCAAGGGACATTAAATTAAAAAGCTTCAGTAAGAGCTTTTTGTGCTTCAAGAAGAGTTTATAGTCAACTCTGCCAGAACTTCAGGAAACCCCCCAGAAATTAAATAAAGTAATGTAATCTTTGTTTATAGCAATTTTTGCTTTTATTAATAATTAGTAGATTTGTTATTGTATGGAGCTGAAAAAAAAATTATTCTCGTTTTTATCCTTTACTTTTTTATGAATGAATAATCCTCTAAATTAATTTTTTTTTAATAGTTATTTGTCAAAAAACTAATAATGTATGAATTAATTCTCAAAGTGTATGTTTTTTTAGTATAACCATAATTTTAAAGAATTTTCTTTAGATTGTAATAAATTCTGTGACAGATCGCTTTATTGGAAAACTGCGCTTAAATCATTTTCAAACATCACAAAATTCATAAATTTTGTTGTTCAAACTTATGTAAATGTAAATATATTATTAAAATGTGTGGATTTTTAATGTAACCTTTAGTTTCTCATATGTGATATAATTACAATTAATAAGTTTATTATTGTGTTTTAATAGACTTTATACCATATTTTATACTTTTTATAAATGGTTTTTCTATTTTCAATTTATTATTATTATTTCTTTCGTTTTTGTAAAAATGGTCACATTGATCTTTTTTTTTTTAAATATAATTAATTTTAATGAGAAATGCGTGTTTTTTGGTATGATAAATTTGTAAAAAGAGAGTGTATAGGAAAATTATTTGGTTTTTATTTTTTCGTTATTTACTTATTTTTTAGTTAAATTTTCCTTTTTGCCATTCGCAGTTGTCCACCGCATTAGCGTCTAATTTTTTCCTTCATTTTTATATAATAAATTATGATTAAGAGAAAGGTATTAGTGATTTTGTTATTAATTCTTGATAAATTTATTATTTATTCTTAAATGCAAATTATTTGAATGTGAAACTTTCTTTAAGAAAACTAAACAAAACAAATAAAGTTCAATAAAAATATCAAAAAGATATCGCAGCTTTTTTCCACGTTTCTCCATTGTAAATTGCATATAAGGATCGTTCTGGTTCATTTTTAATTATATTTTCCTTATCCATGAAGTATTTTTTTTCGATTTTCAGCATAACATTTTTTTTTAAGTTCTTTAAAGCAATATACTTTACAATTCAGAAATCGTATAAAAAATAATAAAAATATATTTTTAAAAACAAATAACTAAAAAGTTCCATAAAATGACCGTTTAAATGCCGTCCGCTTTACGTTGAAACAAATAAGGAAAATTTACTACATACAATAAAAGTTACATATAAGGTTCCTATATATAAATAAAGTTACATAGATTCTAAATAGGATTTTGTTTAAATTATACGTTTTGTGCTTTTGTTTAGATGTTTACGCATTTTATGCTTAGAGATACAGGAAAAATGAGGCAGAAAAATCAAAAAGTTTAACGAGACTTTTCGTTTTCACAAGCCACGAATTGCTTTTCTTTCTTATCTTCAGTAAACTTTACGAAGAACTGAGTGCGTACTTAAATCGACTGAACGATTTATTATTTACTTAATTTACAATATTCGAACAAATATGTTTTAAAGAAGTAGAATTTTCCACATCAGTACCAAAATGAATTTCGGGAATTACGCGATAGCTTATGAACAAGTGAAAGGGTTTTCTCGTCATTACGAAATTTAAAAATACTGTGGGAAGGGATCACTTACGCACCGAGTGTTTTACATAATTTTTCAAATATTTTGGGCGAATTTTAGACGGATAACTAAATGGGTAGTACCTAGAGCATGTAATAAATATTTTCAAGAATTTCATTACAATCAACAGCAAGAACATTTTATTTGTTTCCTGATAGCTATATCTGGGTAATACAATGGGCTGACGAACTTGGCGTATCCCAAAAATTCCAAACAGTCAATAATAATTAAATGATTTCTTTTTTATTATATCTTAATTCACCAATCGGCGGTTTCTTCACTGCAGCATTCTTCACCTGATCATTGAAACAGAATAGAAAAATTAGGAAAAGGTGAATAATGATACGTGAGAATAATTTGAGCTCTAAAGTATAATTTTTTATATAAAAAAGGGAATAACTTATAAGAATTTAAAGTAGTAGTAAACGAACATCGAGTAAAGGCTGGCTACTTTTGAGTTTTTGTACAGCGGCACATAACGTACATAAATAAGCGCACATATTTAATTAGAAGCATATATGTGTATACATATACGTATGCGCATGTTTCGCTTGAGTATGACTAAAGAATGTTTGCGGTTAATGTAATAATAATATAAATAACAAAAAGTTTGCAACGGCATTTTTAAAAAAATACAAAAATACAAATGTACACAGATTTCTTTAAAAAATGTCGGTTTAAAAATTGAAACTAATTTAAATGCTAAATTATAGACGAGTTTTGTTACACTTTAAATCGTAAACAAAAAAAGCTTAGAAAACAGAGAACAAAAAATAAACTGCGATCGGTATTCTTGTTCAAAAAAAAAAAAAAAAAAAAAAAATACAAGGAAACTTACACAAAACGTATTTTGTTGTTTTAAGTTGACTTTTACTTTTCTTTTCTTCATTTTCGAAATCTGTATGTTGCATGCTAAGTAGCTGCCTTTTTGCTATAAATTTATATTGAAATGTCGTCCTTTTATCTTGAAATGGTGGGTTTTTTCTTCTATGGTTGTTTTTAATAAACACTTCTCCTTTCCATTAGGTAGTTGTTATTCTTATGACTGCTTCTGTTATGTTCAATACTGGTAATTGTTGTTGCTACTGCACTATGGCTGCTATTAAAAAAATTTTTAATATTTATATTAAATTTTTGCCTGCTCTGTTTTTAGCTTTGTTCTTTCCAATGATAAAAACAATTTAATAAAGACCGCATCCTCTGAGGTTATTAGCAATAATCACATCGGTAACGGCATCAAATACGAATTGTATATTATTAGTGTCTGTAGCGCACGTCATGTGGCAGTAAATTTCTTTTGAGGTTGACTTGTTTTTCGCTTCAAATTGGGCTTGGATGTAAGCCGCAGCTTCACCATACTCTTGACCTCCTTTTCAAGTGAAATAAAATATACAAAAGCTTTTTTTAATACAAAAGATGTAAAAAATAAACAATGACGATTTTACTAATTCTAAATTTATCACTTAATCGATCGAAACATTTTTGAATAACTCATTCTGGGAATTATTAAAGCAGTAGTTAAACTGTTTATGACATGAAATTTATTTTTAACTTGTCGTTTCTTCTCCATACTTTAGCTTGTTGGCAAAATCCCCGGTTAAACCGAGAGATTGCTTTATATTCACTGCGTTTATTTCAAATACTTCGAGCAAATTACATATTTTAACAAAAAAAATGTATTTTTACTACGAAAATGTAGCTTGAGATTCTTTTGAACGGATTTGTATAAAAAGAGAATTTTCAATATTTACGTTTTTGGCTAGTGCGAGCAAATTCATAACGTGTTTTGCAAAAAGTTCTTCTGATTTGAATAACAAACAACTGGATAAACTTTTATGCTTAAACCTATTTAATATTTCTTGGCGCTCACTGGGTGGGGTGCATTTTACCTGTATACTCTGGGAAACAAATAGTTAAAGGGCTCTTGCGTATTTTCTCCTCAAACAAATCCTTTTTATTTAAGAATAATATAATTGAAGTATCCGTAAACCATTTATTGTTGCAAATCGAATCAAATAATTTTAACGATTCTTGCATTCGATTCTGAAAAGAATAAAAATGTATCAATTTAGAAAAAAATATGTTGTTAACTTACTGTGGTTTCATCCTCATGCAAAACTTGATCGTATTCGGACATAGCGACGCAAAATATGATCGCTGTAACATCTTCGAAGCAGTGGATCCATTTCTTTCGTTCGGATCGTTGCCCCCCAACATCAAAAAGTCTGTAAAAATATGTGTTTTAACAAAATAAATTTAAAGCGCTTGTTGCTACAACACAGAAAAACGTAAGATCGACACGAATCTGCACTAGGTCAATATAATCTCTGAAGAATGAAATAACTAAGACGCAATACCGGAACATAGCAAAAAGGTTATTGCTGAAACCGCTGCAAAAATTATTCTTTTGACAGTTTTTCCAATTGCAATTCGTTTTCTGGCCATTGCTTACCACACAACATATCAATCCAAAAGCAATATTAACAAAAATAACATGAACAACGAACATTTGACAGCTAAGTTACTTTATTTAGAACACATTAGCATATTAGTTGAAGACATATGTCTGCATGTGTAATCGTATGAATTTTGTTGACTGTAGGAGATACTTTGGTATATTTCATTTGTTACGGCCGTAGACAAGAGAAAAGAAATTTAATTTACGAGATCGCTTTATATTTGGATTAGTAATAGTATGCTTTAAATATTGATGCCAGCTATCAGTCATTCATTTCGTTGCCCAAAACAAGCCAACGAGACATTTTCGTTTACAATTCCGTGTAAACATCTACACTTTCAAACAAATATTTTCTCCTCTTGCGTGAGCTTCTGTCCAATTGACAGAAGCCAGAAACATGCAGGATTTCTTTAGTATTATTTTATCTTCAGTGGATGTTAAAATGAACACTTCTTTTACCAATCATTATTAAAATATATCTGTAATTCAGATTTCGCTGTTACGATCAATTCAATCGATAAATAGTTTTTGAGCGGATGCTTCCACTTGTATAGGAATAAGAAAGCGATTCTTCTAGCACAAAGGGAAAACCCTCGTTTTCATAGAAATATTAAATATACTTCCGACACCACATAGTTAGTCAGAGCACGAAGTCAGTACACGTCATGGAATACCATCAGGTCCTGGTGCGTAACTATATTCCAGTGACATTAAAGCTTTCAATACGTTGCTTTCAGAAATGATCAAATTGGGAATGGATACAGTGTTTTGATACCTCGGCATCAGCAGTAAAAAAAGTACTGTCGGAAACATTCGTCAAAGCGACTTACGGTTTCTATATCTCCAGAGTAATCGAAGCCATTAAACAAAATCGATGATGGATAAATGAAGATTCAAATTTGCAAAATTATTTAGGAATGAAGATTTTATCGTTTGAAAGTGTCGCCAACAACTTTGGTGATTGATGATGAGATTAAATCTGTGCCTCACAAAGTTATTTCACAATCTTATTTTTCCTAATTTTACAGCATTCAACTCTTTTGTTAAGCAATGGCGGCCAAATTTTTCAAGGGCAGGGTTGTCTAATCGGAACGGACGGGGGAATACCTAGACTAAGAGGTGAGTTCTAAGCAATAATAATAATAAGCAATAAGAAAGCTAAGACCTGAGAATCTCCCATTACACTTAGTCAACGATTGCACTAGAAAAGATTTCGACCATATACTTTATTATATTTCATTGAAAAACGCAATGGATTTTTTACATGTTAAAGCGGGGATTATGTAAATTGACAATAAGACACGAAGTTACTTGTACATTGATATATTGAAATCCCCATTGCTATTTATTGATTACAATGCGTATTTTCACAACATGTTGAAGTGCTTGATAATCTTCGACTTTATGGGAGAAGCACTCATGCCATAGTCGATCAAATTGTACTTCCCATTATATTGTTGCCACAATCATTAGGTCATTTTTACAATAGTTTGCACTATAGTAATCGATATTAAGCAATCAAAAACACTTAATAATTCGAAATATTCGTGATACGGCCACATTGAAAAGGAGAATAATAATCGATTTTTCCACTTTAATGGAAAGTAACCAAAGAAACAGTAGATAGATTATATAGTTTAGTCAATAGTGTATATAAATTTACTGTACAGTTGCTCAGCGCACAACTAGGTACGCCATCAGGGCCAGCCTTCTTGGTATTGTGTATATGTCACATGTTACTGTAAATTATATACGAGTCGAGCCAAATCAAGGTTATATTGTCATTGTACGGAAGTCTGATTTTCATAACTGGGTTTGGGTTGGTGGCATTGTTACAAATGTATACCGATTAAAAATCAATTTGCTACTTCGCTTTCATGTGCAGAATGAATGTTGCTTAATATTATGAACGAAGGATAAAAGTTAGGATCTGTTCCTGAGCTGTTCTTCCCCACCTGCAAGTAGTTGCAATAGCACAACTTACTCTGCTTCGTTCACCTGCTGCATAATAAGAGCGATAACCACTTGCTTTTGTTTAAGTACCGATAAAGATGTGGATACACCTCCTATATCCCCATCCATGTTTTTTTTTAACAAGAAACATCTGGGTTTGCAGGAATTTAAGAAGAAGTCAAATATAGGCTTTTATTTTCACGTGGGTGGAAAAGATCGTTATATTAGTCGTCGTGTTATTAGATGACAGAAGGGCAGTACTAGTACGAATCATGAAAAAGGGTGGAATGACTCTGTTTGTATGTGCATCTTGTTGCACCAGAAAAGCAAGGGGGGTAGAGAGCACTCTGTGCTATTTCTAAAGCCCAAAAATCACAATTAATTGAGAAGAATTTAAATGATCGTTAATTGCAATTTTCACAATTTGCAAAAAAAAAAGCCTGAATTCGTCCGACCGAATACGCAAAACGTCTCGACTAAGAATCCAATGGTCAATATGCTAATGCTTTAAGACTTTAGTTTTAGAATGTTTTCTCTGAGTAAATTAATTATAATGTTAAGAACAATAATATCAAAAAAAGCCAAAAAATGCAAAAAAGTTGCGGCATATGAAGAAACACAGGGTCGCCACGGTCCCACGGCTTGCCCTTGTCAAGTCTGACGTAGAAAGTAACCGCAGAAAATTTCGTCAATTTTTGGGCCCCACGCTACTTAAGGGTATTTATAAAAAGGTGGCCTTTATAGTAGTAACGGTTTTGATAACGAGATTAATTTGGTTGAATTTGGACCATGAGAGTATGCACCATTTTCCATGAAAGAGCTCTGCATTCTATAATGTTTTGTAATGTAAGCAAACCTTTTTTAACTTTCGTTGAAGATTCCACGTATTTTCGATTTGCAAGTTTGATGAACAATAGCATTTCATTTGTTAAAACGAGCGAAAGTTTTGATGATTGAAAAACGAAGGAATAATGATTCATGTTGTTATGAAATTCGCTTTTCTAAAATATAATCCGTATCACTGGATCGTGGATATTCTGTTCACGTGAAATACACTTCAAATATGTTCTATTTACAATTATATTCCTTAAATGTAGGATTATTCACAATTTATTTTTGGCAATACTTGCGACTGCTCAACTCAAATATTCTTTTTCTACTAACTCATGCTTCTACAAATATTCTATTTATATACATTTGTACAAGCATATTACTATATTTAAATTCATGGCTTCATTTTTAATCCCTGTCTGCTTTTCTGCTAATCGTTTTTACCGTAGCTGCATGATGCGCCGCAAATGTGCATTTGCTTTTCCCCTCTTTAGGGAATTTATTATTTGGCAAAATTAATAAGAAGGAAGTGGATTTGGGAGTTCCGTAACAATATGTATGCACGTTAAAAGAAGGGGCTCAGATTGTATATATATGCATATAAGCGAGAAAACTACAACTTGTGGCTAACTTAAGCTAACTTAAAACTATGTGTAAACTATTAAAGTACTTCATTGTGGATTCATGAAGCAAACGTAATTTGCGTTAAATAAGGAGATGAAAGCTGGTCCTCTGACGCCATTCGATTTGAAAGTGGTTAGGAATTCTCAGTCTCTAGCAGACACACTTCGCAGCAGAATACAAAACCTTAAAGGCAAATAGAATTGCTTCTACAATTAAGTTTGCTTCATTAGAAACTTCTATGTGCTTCTTCATGAAAGTTGTGTATTGTGTTTTGCAGTCTGGATATTTGTTCTGTTTGCTTTACAAGCCTCTAAAATGCTGAAGAGCACATTCAAAAAAATTTCCAAGCCTATCACTTTCTTTTACTTTGAGCAGGTTTGTAAAATATGAACAAAGATGAATTATTGTTTGTTTGCTCGAAAATGATATCTTCATTCTTCCCAGAAACAAAAATAGATAGATAAAGAGAGGCAGAGAGAGCTTATCCAATTATATATTTGAAGTAGAAAATTCTCCACGATAGACCTTCCGTCTGTCTAGTTTTTTTTCAGAATATGTAAATCTGTGCTTAAACGAATTCGACGAACGTCCACCAAACCAAAGGATAGACCAGCGCCAATTAGAACGTCTCTACCGCCTGCTCTGCGAAATAAAAGGTCCGATAATCGCGCATTTTCCGAAATATTTCAGCTGCTTACATTGCAACCGGTACTACGATGACAGTCTGTTATAGTTATCATAAAGACAACTTATAGAGGAGTTGAATAATTTCCATGTTTCGATTATAAGGAGGTCTCGACAAATTTATCTGCAACGAAAGTATTAGTCACGACAAAGACAATGAGTTTTCCTCAGTTAGCACATAAACGTTCAATATGTTAAGCACTTTTGATTAATCACACAGATTTTCCTCATTTTATTTTTTCAAATTTTTATCGCGTCGGCGTCACCTTGACATAAGATTGTTGGCACCAATGTTTTCGCTATTAAAGATGTAATGAATTGAGAATTACATTTGCAAAGAGACAACTCACAACTAACTGAAACTGACCTTAAAACTGTGCAAACTATGAATTACTAATATACTTCGATGCGTCAGCATAAGGCAGACGTAACCGGCAGTTAGCATACGCAAGTGTGTCGCAAAGTACAATATAAAACCCAAGTTATCCATAACAGAATGTTCATAAAAGGTAGATTTAAAGTACAAATGTGCAACTTATATTTGCTCAATTCAGATTATCAGAAAGTTTCGGCTAAAAATTTAATTAATACTTTAAGATTTTTTATTTTTGCGGAGAACTGCTGAAAAATTATGGGCCCTACGTTTTATCTTTACATCCTTCTTCAAGCTTCAAACTATTTCATGAATAGTTATACATTTCCAGAATTTTGCGAAAATATTTACGAGTTATTGACAAGAGAATATTTAAATATTCCACACACATTAAACTTACTTGAAATTCAAATTTTTAAAGGAAAAGTGCACTTCAACAATACCGGTAGTTTTGACACGAGTGCGTAATATATCTTGTTCTGTTGGTTGGTAATCTTTAGCGCCTAATCGATCCAAGTCATCCAGAAAACTAAAAAGATAGAAATGGTCATTTAATTCTGAACTTAAATTAAATGGTTTAATTTTTATGTTTAACTTGAAAAAATTTCTTTCTTTTCTATACAAATGCGTAAATTGTTTCATTCATTTAGATTAAAGAGAAGCAATACAGCAAACAATTGTTTACGCAAAACATTTCCATTAAAGTGTAAGCGAAATTGAATTAGTTGCATTTTTATTTTTAATGGGTATACTTTTTCTCATTGGATCTTATGTTGAAGGGTTGGGTGGGTGGAGAAGGAAGGGGAATGAAAATTTTGAAGAAAAGGAAAATAAAAACATTGTGATGACCCTTACATCATTAATTTAAATACCCTATACTTGATGAAGTTATTCATATAACGACTTTTCAACCTATGGCGTTACATGATAAATAGTCAAAGAAATGCTCAGATCCGAACTATTTTAAGTATATCCATGCCTGGGTTATCACGAAACTACTTAAAATACCAAAATAATTAAAAAGTTACGACCCATAGGTTGAACACAAATATGCGAGACGGGCCGAGAAGTTTAGATTCGGAATTAGTCTTTGAATTGATCGTTATAGTAAAAGGTACATCCATCTTTCTGGATGTTGTATGTGTCTATAGACACAATTATGTACCTTTGGAGTAAGGTGCAAAAAGTAATTAAAAAGTTTTTTGTAAATATTATTTTTTTAAATTATAAGTAGGTAATTAATTGTTTTATAAGTCAGTTGAAAAGCTGCTTTTGGGTGAACAGCCTTGAGTAAATATCTATGATTAAAATTTGCATCATATAATAACAGAAAAATTATTAAAGAATTATGGACGAAATTTCAGTTTTCTTATCATATGTTGAGCTTAACTGTATCTAACTATATCTATTCACCGTAAGTACCAATTCTTTCGTTTTTACATATTTGTTGAGTTCTAAGCCTATTCCTCTGCAGACACGCCCTAATCTCATTTAAATGTAGAAAGTGCAAATTAACTAAAATATACTTTTAGCCGTTGAAACATAAAGCTTAGGCGAAGATGGCAAAGTAAGATAAATTAAAGAGAAGAAAAGAACCTATTGATTAATATTGACTAATACCAGTTGGTCACACATTTAAAATAATAAATGTTGCAATGACATGCTGCACACTTTTTTCTTTTAATTACAAGCCTAAATGGGTGCAACATCCAAAAACAGTTTTACCAGGAAAGGAATTATAACCAACGCATGCGTACTTGTGTACCCGTCGTCCAAACACAGTACAAAAAGTCACTTAAGTTTGTTAAGGAAGTTGAAGATAAATAAATCAACATGTAATTGAATAACCGGTTCAAAAAAATATGGGAGGCATTGAAAAATTATGTGAGAATACGTACAGTATATGAATGTAAATGCGTAGATTGCATTCTGCTAGTAAGGACAGGAACCTGTTTGCAAGGCTTATTGTCTTAAGTGTCTTTTTAGCGCTAGACCTACCAACGCTCCTCACATATTTATTTCAATTACAATCGGTCAATTTGATCCAAAATCATTGTGGAATCGCCACGATCTCGATCAGGTAGAGATGAGATCTTCAATCCTGGCAAAACTCCATCTTTTCATGGCTCTTTCCAGTTTAGGATGCCTTTGGTTGATATGATTACGGGGTTGTTTTTGTCTAAACAATGCGATAGTTCATTTGGTCAAAATTTAGCAATTTCGATACAAACTTCGCTGTCACTCATTTCATGGCCAAGCCATTTCACGCCGAAAAAATTGCACAGCATAAGCGAACTGATATGCCGAAATCGATATGCTGCGTCAACCTTTTCAGGAGTTGTTAACCTGCTGAGACGTTCGGGGTGGGCGTCGTCATTGACATCTTGTCGCCCTTCTACGATTAAATTGTACTTGTGCACACAAAATTTAAGGCAGATTGTTTATTCCATTTTTTTCGATAGCAAAAAAAGCCAAACGTTTCCTCGCTTTATATCTGTTAAAAGCAAACTAAAAATGCAAAAGGACTGATAGACTCAAGGTATGTTGGTGACAAATTTACCAAAATAAAAAAATAAGAATAAAAAATTCGAAAATGGAACATGACATTGCCGTTTGTTTACTCTCAAATTTCGTAAGTATTTATTAGTATTAATTAACGAATTACATAATATAATACCTATTGTTCATTTAAAATAACATTCTTTTTAACACAAGCCAGTGGTAGGCGATAAAAAATTCATTGCAAAAAACAAAATAAAGTTTCTTGTCGTTTCCCACTATCTTGCAAAATGTAACAAGTGAGAAATTTGGTTTTAATCTATTACAAGTTAACGAAAGAATGTCAGTTGACGGTGGTCGACACTTAATAAACGCATGCTGGAAGGAGCATAGAAGCGCATTGTTTGAAGAGAAGAGTTTCGCAAGCACTAATTTTGTAAACATTTTCAACACGACTGCGTTGTACGTAAATGTATAGCTAGTACTACAAGCTACAACAAAAAATATAAAACATTTTTAAGATTTATTAGAGCATGCTAAAAACAAACGCTTGCGAAAAATTGCAAATGTAAGTAGGGCTTGCGCTTTAGACCAACCTTTGAAAAGCTTTAAGAAACAAAAAATAAAAATAGCGCAATTGACGCAATTAAACGGGACAATTAAACATTTTTTTAAGCAGATTTTGTGCGAATATAGATTCGAATTGTTGCAAAGCTTGATAATCAAAATATTCAACATCACTATCTATGATCGTTTCCCTCCTAACACCTCGACCAATTTTCGCACATCATCAACTTTGTAGAAACGCTGATTTGCTATATGTAACGGCACTGAACTGATCCAGGGGTGATGCGAAAAACCAGATCTGGCGAATACCCCGCATGTGTAACAAGTTCCCAGCCCAAGTGATAACCGCTTCCTGGGTTGTTTCTGTAACAGACTGGCTGACATACACGAAGAACAAATTTTTTGCAAAAACTTTTCTTTTCTAACTGTTTCACAGTTGTATTTTCTTTTCCAGCCAACTTAACGATTTCCGTAACTTTCGCTGCTTTTTCACAGTTTATACCAGTTTCACCCAGAAAAAAACGCAGTGTCATTGATGACAAGTACGTTTTCACATTTTAATATTGATCAACAGCTTAGAAACAATTGAAACTTACTACCCCTAATATCTAAGTTGTCTACATATGATATTTCGAGAAAAGTGAACGCATCGGGTGCTTTTTATGAAGCAACAAATTTCAATGGAAAGAATTTATTAGTATACTGGATTTAGATACATTTTATGGATTATGGCTTAAAATACCTTTTGAAGATTGTTTTAAAAATGAATTCCTCTTTATAATCAAAAGTTTTTTTTTTTGGCAATCAAAAAAAATTATTCACATTCTACTTAAATGATTTCCAGCATTGAATTGCACCGACCTCCTAAATTACTTCTTGTTAGACATTGCATCGACAATTGGACTAACTCTTTTAAAAAAAGGTATGGAGTATCAAACTTCACTCATCTTAGTGTACTCCTTATTCCATATTGCTTTTTCTAATGGCTTAATCTTTTCTATTTTTAATCTGCGCTTTATTACTGCTAATTTTTTAGTTTTTTTTAAAAGTCTATGCTACTCTTTTTATACCCTACACCAGGCGTGGTATAAAAGAACATTAGGTTAGTTAGGTAGTTTGTATATAAAACTCACAAATATTTGATATTGACCCAAGTTTGTTGTAAGCGTCGATTGAAAATCACTTTCTTTTGTTATGGAAATATTTTAAGTAAATATCCCTCTTGTCGACTGTTTACATTAAGCAAACTTGGTGAACCTCATAATAACTAAATGTTGTTTACAAATTTTCAACGTAATGTGCATATTTAAACTAAAACTTAAGATTTATCACTTATAAGCCTTTCTTCTTTTAAATTTAAACCAATATACATAAAAAAGCGGTTTATCACAGTTTTGGGAAAATTTTTACATTAAAACGTTAAACATTTGGAAAAAATCAAGTTGGAAAACTTTTTTCATTTTGAAACAAAAGAAAAAATCGAATAACCAATTTTAGGAACCAGTATATATTTACAGAAATATGTCTGTCTATTTACTACTGATATGGTTGATAAGTAGAGGAAAGTAAAGCCCAAAGTAAATAACATCTAAAAAGTATGCTCAACATGATGAAAACAATCAGGAAATAAAAACCAACGATGGGTGTGTAGTGTATGTATGCGCTTACATATACACGTTATGTTGTTACTAAATGTGAACATGTTACATTAACGTTAATGCCAAAAGCCTATGAAAAACCAGAAAATTAAGTAAGAAATTAAAAACTTACTATAGATTCGTATAAGATATTAAGTAAAGCTGATTAACGACTTTAGTTGAAGTTATAAACATCCATTGTGAGGTTCGCGAAACTCAGCGCGTGCTAGAATATTTTAACTTAAAAAAAAACAACCAACCGTTTCAAATCAGTGAATGCATGCAGTAAAAACAATAAAGCAAATTAAAGGAAACTCCGAACGTTTTATATACATTCATTGCCGTCTATGTCAAAATTTCGAGGTAATTCGCAATAAGCAACAATTCTGAAACTAATGGACAATTTTAAAAATTAAAAATAAATATTGATCTTAAAAAAATTGTGCGTTTTTTAAAAACAATTAAGATGCGGTTTATTTAATGGCCAAACAAAGGTTAATAAAAAAAATTTAATTGTTTAGGAGACTTCATCTCCTGGATGGATGAGCGGTGGACAATTGACAACAGTTTCGTTGAGAGCTGTATAAGTTCGAAAGTCGCTTGTGTAAGGAGGTTCTTGGGAATATTGAAGTCTTTTTGTTGTTAAATCACGTGGATTCGGCAATTGATAAAAAAATCGTCACAAGTGCAGATCGGCAAGTTAGCATGCCGTCTACGCTAGGAAGCATCGTTCGTTGGCTTTGATATATTTAAGACAAATATAGGTAGCTTCTTACCAGAAATTTTGATTCACAAACATAATCTTACGTGCCTTCGCGATTCTAAAATAAAAGTGCATCATCTCAAATTTGTTTCGTCAACTAAACTATTTCCCTGAAGGTGTTATAAAGTTTAAAAGAAATTCACTATTGACTTTTTCTTGTACAATCCGCTTTCGCGCAACTACTCGACTAGTCCATGTTTGCTTACCACGCACGCTTTGCAGAATGCCGGTCAAGGAAATTTCCGATTCCTGTCTATCGATAGGTGGCACCACAACAGTGATATTTTTAACGTGAAGATCCGTTAGTTTGCCGGAAACTTCCTATGTTTCTACCAAAGTTGAAGTTGATATCTTCACTTTTGTGCCAACGACGCACACCACAAAGACAGACGAATACGGTTAAATCAACTCAGAATTCATACATACACTTTATAGAGTCCGTGAAACTTTCCTTTTGGGGTGTTACATATACTTTTGCAAAAAAGCAAAATTAGTATACCCCATCTTACAGCGGTGGGTATAGATGAAAACGTTAAAATTCATATAATAAGCAAAAAAGGAAAAAACACCCAAACCCCCAGTATAGACATTCGATGAAAACGTTAAAATTCATATAATAAGCAAAAAAGGAAAAAACACCCAAACCCCCAGTATAGACATTCGTAGCCAATGTGGGCCCAAGTTGGGAATGAACTTGTATATGTACCCTCCTTAGGGAGGGTACATATAGAAGTAGAGCGTATGACGACAGTGCTAAATGCAGACGTTAAACAAACGAAATACTTTTTATAACATCAATGTATAAGCGCACTCAACCGTCGCCTACGAAGTTACGAACGGTACGGTAAACTAGTGACGGGATATCGTTGAATGTTGTATTGGTGATAATGAGGGATAATCTCTTATTTAGCAAAAACCTACCACAAATATATAAGAAATCTAGTCACATTTATAAGTACGATTTATAACATGTTAAACACTTCAAATAAGAAAAAAACCAAAGAAGTAGCAGAAGCGTTCGATGAGATATACGATCCGCGGGTCGTATATTTGAGGTTTCAGACATTACACTGAAAACACCAACATTCCAACCTGAAATAAACAAAAGTACCGTCGATAAAATAAAAAATATACGGGAAAGTGCCAAGACGATTTCTTCCAGCAAATCTTAAAGCGGCATTCGATAAATTGCATGGAATTTCACATAAAAGATCGAGAGAAACGAAGAAATTAAGAAATATATAGATATATATAAGATATTTTTGGTTAGGAATCAAAAAGGAAATTAGTTCACGGTCAAGCCAATACATTTCAAGGCAAAAATCGGAAATCTCCCGATAAATGTAAATACCGGTACACAAAACAATAGGAATAGGCAGACTTCAGCGTATCCAGACATCGTTGGTTCGCTCGCTCAATCTAATGCTAACCGCTATATACTTACTATAAACAATAGATTCATGTTCGAAGCAAGCTTCATTGCAAAAACTTTTGTAAACAATTACATATCACATTTCACCGTAGCACACATAATCAAAAGTGACCAGAAAGCACATTTCGCCTGAAGCGTACTCACGAAATTAACAAACTGCGTTGTGAAAAAGGCAATCTTAGCGAGCCAGAAATCGCTAAAATAGAGTGAAGAACTAGCGATATCTTTGTTAGGACTTCGTAAAGTGTATAAAGAAAGTGTATGGAGAAAATCTTCCACAACTAAAGCAAAACTTTAAGAGCGTCAAATCGCACATAGACCATCACAGATATTGGTTGTCCAAAAAATGCGTTAATGTAAATTTAAATCCACGATTGTGAAAGAGAGAGCGTGCTAACGGTACTAACTTTGTCGATGCACGTTCGGATACATATGACAACAAATTTTTAGGCGCTACTATCAAGAACAGTATGCAAGCTTGGTGTCGACAGTCACGTTGAACTAAAGCAGTGCCATCCAAATAAAAGATAACCTTTGAAGATTTAACAACTACAATTGGCGAAATTGAAGGGACTATGAATAGCTTTAACATTGATTCATTTTTGATGGTATTTTACTTCTACTGCAGAGCTATTTTATTATTCGTATTTTAAAAGTCCTAACATTTAGCATAAGATTTGGTGTTAATTAACATTGCATTTAATTCGTCTGTTATGGTGTTGCACCTGAATTCCATGTGTAAATAAATAGTAAAACCTATTAAAAAAAGTGAAATTGTATCCCATTTAGACAGATTGAAAAGAGCAATAAGCCATTGTAGCCAGATGTTCTAATAAGAAGATCTCTTCCCAAAGTGTTGGAAGTATTGTGAGTGCAAAGAATTACTATGTCTCTAATAAAGAGCGATGAAAACGAGAGCTATTCATTAAGTCGCTTCAGTTCCAAGGTCGATTGAAGGGTTCTGCGAACAGATGTCATTGACTACTGAACAATTAGCAACATATACTCAGACTTCATTTGTGTGGAATCGTACAGAGCACAAGAAAATCATAAAGAATTAGGAAGCCAGTAAAATGAAACTCCAACATAGTAAAATTATTTCATTCCAAACCATAAATTTATTGAGCAATGTGGAAAAACTGTTAAAAAGTTAAATGTGCCATATGTTGTTCAAAATGTTATGTGAAAATGCAGTTCACCTGTAAACAATTTGATCTTATATATTCTAAAAACAGGTCTTTACATCTTTTTAAATTCTTCTCTTAGTGTAAACAAAAATAATGTATTCCTATAAATCCATTGCGTTTACTTTGGCGAAACCCAATCCTGCAACAACAACGTTGGCTGTGGCGATTGCAATCCGATTAAAAACAACATTTGCAAATCAGCAAACACCAATAGCGATTGGAGCGGAAGCAGCGGGATCTCAAGCTAACAAAGTTGAGGAATATCAAACTACAAAAATTGGAAGGTTAAAAAACTTTTCTTGTCATTTCTTAATTGGTTGAATTCTTGACTAATACTCCTTAAAATATTTCTGATTGGCAACAGTAACTCAAACGGGCTCTGCGCTACAGCAGCCTCTGTGAACCGAGTACGTTCCTATCGTGAAGTTCCCGGCCCTCGGGGTATCCCTATCATTGGCAATTCCTGGCGTTTTGCCCCTTTCATAGGTGAGTAAACACTTTCACAGACCGTTAAAAATGAATGTACGTACGTTAACTTAGAAAGCGTGTGAGCATATTATAAGAAAAATGTGAATATAAATTAATCAGCAAACACTCAGTTAAAGAGGTGTGTTAAGTAGTTGCCGAAAGAGGCGTGTTAAGTAGTTCGAACGTTTTCAAAGTTTTTGTAAATTTTAGGAACCTTTCAATTACAATTTTCCTCCACTATCGCTCTGGACTCTGCTACTTAACATATGTTAACATTCACTCATGCAGCTCATCTTCTGTAAGTGCGACAGTAACGAAGAATCTACAATGTTTTATTCAGAGAAAGTCCTATTTAGCAATCCCTCGTAATGTAAGCGTTTTCACTAATTATACTTCGCAAACGACAAAGCAGTAACAGTGCTTTAATAGCTCAATTAATTCAATTCAATGATTCAATTAAAATGAGGGAGTAGAAAACATCGTGAAGTTTGCTTCATATTTTCTAACCGGTTTCTTGATTATACGTTTTTCTTTATATAAAAACCAAAACTTATAAAACTTCTTTTTGTTGTGTTCAAATTAGTTTGCATGGAAATTTCACTTAAATTGTAACCAATAAACTAACTTCTTGACTTCTGTAAAGATTTTTATTTCTTTTGGGTTAAAAAATACAATAAAGAAAGAAAATCATCCACTTGTAGTTAATTTTCTTAGTTATTAAGTCTTTCGTCTTAATTGGTTTGTAATACTTATTAGAAATGAGAAAAAATATTCTGTCTGGGAGTCACAGAGAACCTAAAAAGAAGGGCTTTGTAGAATTGGTTTTTATGACTATTTATATAAGAAATTCTTCAAGAAAGACTGCTACGGCGTTGGGTATTAATTCTCCAAATGCATTTCGAAGTATTAGTTTGGGGAAAAAGAAATCCATTATTTTTTCGGTAGATGGCTGCACTGATAGATTTCTCGTAAAGTATCGATCAAACAATTTCATATTTATGCTCGTTGGAAAGGTGACATTTCGCAGTAAAAAAAATTCTTTTGCTGTTTTTTATTTGGTGCACTCAGTTGTGAGTTACAGCGTGTTAAAAATGGAAGTGAACAAAGAGAAAATTCGGTACATTTTACAGTTTTTCTTTGACAAAGGCGAAAATGCAAGCCAGGCGGCTAAAATTGTGAATGGTGTTTATGGTTTCGATACTGTAACAGCCAATTATGTGCAATTTTGGTTTCGTAGATTCCGTTCAGGAATTTTTGATGTTAAAGATGCACCTCGCACAGGTAGGCCGGTCGTCGAAAATGTCGATAATATCGGAGAAATGATCGAAGTTGACCGGCATGTTAGCAGTCGTAACATCGCCCAGGAGCTAAAAAACGACCATAAAACAGTTTTAAACCATTTACACAAAGCTGGATTCAAAAAGAAGCTCGATGTTTGGGTGCCACACCAATTAACAGAAAAAAACATGATGGATCGAATTTCCATCTGCGAAGCCTTGGCCAAACGGAATAAGATAGAAATGGATCACATACGATAACCCTGTGCGAAAACGATCGTGGTCAAAGAGCGGTGAAGCACCTCAAACGGTGGTCAAACCAGGACTGACGGCCAGGAAGGTTTTGCTATGCATTTGGTGGGACTGGAAGGGGATTATTTATTATGAGTTGCTTTCATATGGCCAAACGCTAAATTCTGATCTCTATTGTCAACAACTGGACCGTTTGAAAATAGCGATTGACCAGAAACGGCCAGAATTGACCAACAGGAGAGGTGTCGTGTTCCACCAGGACAACGCTAGGCCACACACATCTACAGTGACTCGCCAGAAACTTCGGGAGCTTGGTTGGGAAGTTTTAATGCATCCGCCATACAGTCCGGACTTGGCACCAAGCGGTTATCATCTTTTTCCTGCATTGCAAAATTTGTTTAATGATAAAAAATTGGAATCTAGGGAGGATTGTGAAAATCGACTACTAGAGTTTTTTGCAAATAGAGACCAGGACTTCTATGAGAGAGGCATTTTGAAGTTACCTTTAAAATGACAACAAATCATACAACAAAACGGTGCATATTTGACCCAAATCGAACAATCCGAAGCATGTTAAATAAAGTCCTGAAGTTCATATAAAAATAATGGATTTCTTTTTCCCAAACTAATATTAATAAAAAGAGAACTGACTGAAACATCGAATAAACCAATTGAATTTATTAGACTGTTTCACTGACAAATATAAATAGATATAGACATGGTTTTGTTGTTTATGAAGAGATAAATATTTTTCCAAACTTTCAATAAGGAACAGTTTTTCTTGTTAAACTGTCGTTTCAGGACATTATAAAATAAGCGAATTAGATAAAGTAATGAAAGAATTGCATACAAACTATGGCAAAATCGCTAAAATTGGAGGCTTGATAGGGCATCCAGACTTATTGTTTATATTTGATGGTGATGAAATACGAAAGATTTTTAAAAAAGAAGAAACAATGCCACACAGGTAAATAAGGGTACCCAACTTAACAAAACTAGGTATATATGTAAATTTTTCAAATATTTTAATTAAACAGCCAACCTGACAAAAGCATTCGAAATTTTTTTGAGGTGGAAGAAAATATTCAACGCGATATTGAACTAATAAACATGGGTTAGGTGCGCAACTAAGTAAACAGCTTTCAGACTTGCGTACAGTTATGTTTTTTATTCGCCATTTGTTAACAATAAGCAGGCCTAATACCGACATTTGACAAGGTTGTTGAATTTTTGTTTTTGCGGAAAGTCCTGTTTATCTACTTTAAATCAAAAAAAATACCGACGTAAAGCACCATTTGGTTGAATCACTGAAAAGAGGCTTTAACACAAATACACGGCAGTTGGAAAATCGATATTCCGAAATTTTGATTTTGCATCCCAAAAGAAACAATTTTTTGTATTGAACTATTGGTAGCGATGAGAACTGGATGTGCTTCTATGAACATTGAATGAACAACTTTTCTCCACATTTTTAATTTTTTACGGATCAAAAAAACTTAAAACTTCATTCACTCAATAAGCATATATTTTTAGGTGTAAAAACATTTAAAACATGACAGTTAGTTTAAAGAGCTCTCAATTTTCGAGAATTTTTGACCAAAAGGGGATGATCATTTGTTAATATTTATATTGATTTCTCAAAAATCTGCTGCCCATTTCGTATTCTATTAGGTGTTTGCAAAAATGATGGTCATTTTTTACTTGAAAAAGGCAATTATTGCGGAAATATTAGTACAATATATATTAATCAAAATATCATTTCCTAGAACATTTTACAATATTTTTGGCGACATGGTAATACCATGTCGAAAGAAGTTATATCGGTTTGGGAGCAATCTCACCCATGTCCCATGTTCACACTTCTTCAATTTTGCGGACTCGTGTGCAAGTGGTAGTAAGGAGCCGCCATGTCTGGTGTATACACTGGCCGAACTTCCTATTCGAGCTGCAACAGGATACACTGCAACAACTCTTGCAACAAGTAACCAAAATGACGATTTCGGTCAATTCGCGTTGCCAATTTTAAACAGTTTAACACAAAAGCAACAATTGGGATATAATGGAGCAGAATAATAGCCTCTGAACGTGTTTGGTGGGCTTCGGCAGCAAATTTTTCCAAACAAATAACAAAAGTTATGAATTTAACAGAAGAAGAATTTTGAGCGCTCAATGATTACCGTCCGCGTACGCTGAATAAATCAATAATATTAAATGGAAAATTCTTAGGAAGATCAAATCCAACGCGTTCAATCGATATGTATTTTCCATTTCTTCACCATTTTTAGCTGTAGAAGTTGTTGATCAGAATCTTTGCAAGCACCTAATATATTCTCGATAAAGCATTTTTACATTTGTTACTGTATACATATATAGTAGAAAAATTCAAAAACCACCGGGTAAAACAAAGCACTTTTTAGGGCGTCTGCAGAAAAGCCCGATTTTTCAAGGAAAAGATATCTTCAAGATAATCTATCTTCTTTCCAATATTTTAAAAGATTCAAAACCTAATAAAATTAAGTCATTCAAAAACCAATTGAGGGCCTGAAAATTTTAAAAACAGTTCCAAACAAAGAAATAACAAGGATTTCTGCAAATTCAAATAAAAGGCCTAATTTAAATGAATATTGTCATCTTATTCTCTCTGTTTTTGTGATGGTGTTAATACATGACGTCCAGTACAGAAATCTTCAAAGGAAGTGATATATATATTCATTTCTTCCCCACAAAAAGTATTTTCCTCTTCCAGCAACGCCATATTTACAATGTACAAGGTACTGTCAGTTGAACGTCCATCCGAACGTAAGTTAGCAGATTTTTTTTAAGTAATGAAAATAGTTCTGTCTATGAGCGTCTTTTTTGCTTGCCAGAAATTACTCTGCACTGCCATCGGCTATAGTCATAAGTCCACTGGGTACATTTAACCCAGCGATATCAGTGGGCGCAAAGTCTACAATATTGTTACAAATTTCCGTATTTCTATTTTAAGATTTAAGAGTTGCACTAAAAGTAATACATTTTGTACGGACCTTCCCAGTTACATCGCAGTTTTGGTGACAGACCTTTTCTACGTAAAGGATTGTACAATAACACTAAATCCCCTTCCTTAAATCCATTACCGTTAGCCCTCAGGTCGTATCTTGCTTTCACATACGATTTGCTTTCTATTTCGAACCTGTCGGTGCATGTTATCCCATATCATCCTCAATCTAGCAACATATTCGGTCTCGGACTGTAGGGGGTGTTCCGAATTTTAAATCTACGGGTAGCCTCAAATCAGATCCAAACAAAATCTGCGCCGGGGTAGAGCGGCGGTGTTGTGCAGTGCTGATCTGTATGCCATTGAAAAGATTGGTATGTGGTCATCCCAGTCCTGCTGATTGTCGTTGATCAGTTTCTGCAGATGTTCTTGAAGCGTTCGATTAAACCTTTCGA